GAAACTAAAACTTTCTATTTAAGATCTATAATATTAGTAAATTATTTTTATGTAATCTCATACTAATCCAGAGAATAACCTAGTTTTTAAATAACAATTTTTAATTTAACTTTTAAAAGTTTAATAATTTTGATAAATGTATATAGATGAATAGAAATAACTTAGTTCACAACCAGAATTTAAATGACAGTTTTGAATAGTTTTAAGGTATTTTCATTTGGGAAAACTGCCAAAAGAACTAAAATTTCCAATTTAGGGTTTGCTCGAATGAACTTCAAGGCAAATTTTCATATCTTGCCACATAATTTTAGGCATTTGTTTTAATGAATATGAAAAATGAATGACTAAATGAATAATTAAGGTGTTATGTCAATAAATATCCAAAGTATTGGCGCCACCTAGTGAAACCGTAAAAGGTATTTGAACTAATATGAAGCTAATACAGGAACTATATAATATTTTGTATTACCAAATTAAAGAACTTCAATAGAAACAATTACTAAATGTTTTTGCATAGTAAAGATTTCTCTTAAAGACTTTATTAATATTAAGATACTAAAATAAAAATTTCATTGCCAAAGGCAAGACATATTCCAGAGTGAACCATTCAGACTGCATAAAAGTTAACATTTGTGTTTTTTAACAAGAATTCTCAGTAAATTACAGTGCCATCAGTATTCAAAAGACATATTAAAACAACTCTACCTGCAACTATTTATTGTAATTTAAGTATTTGTCACATTCCTTATGTTATATTATGATATATATTCCGTTCTTCTCAATAATTGAACACCTACCTCCCTCACCCTCTGAAAAGGACCTCATTGATTACATCACCAAAACAACATAGGTTATCTAAATACAATTATTGCATCTCCTATATGCTTCAATATTTGTCTTTCAGGGATCTGCAAACTATGGCCAATAACCCACATCCAGCTACTGTCTGCTTTTGTATATGAAAGCCTTACTGGAATACTATTCATCTACATATTGCCTATGGTTCCTTTTGTGCTACAACAACAGTTGAGTAGTTGTGGAAGACATTATATAACCCACAAATTCTAAACATTTAATATCTACCCCTTTACAGAAAAAGCTTTCTAATCCATGATCTATTTCATCATCCATTCTTTTTTCCTTTTAATAAGAAAAGAGGTATGTCTGTTCTTCTTTAATATAAGCTAGCTCTTTTTGCCTTGGATCCCTTTGATCATCTGCTCCTGAACAGTACAATATTAATTATCTCATCTATACATTTCTGTAGCTCCTCTATTCCCACTGGATCCTTCAGTCTCCTCTTAATCAACCATCTGATTTTTCTTCTTCCCTTTGCCATCAAAGTTCTGGTGGTAGAAGGCAGTAGAAACTTTGAATATCATAATATATATATCATTACTATATAATATATAACATTAATATTAATACAATAGGTAACCATATAACATAATGTATATTAATATGTAATATATTAACATGTAATATGATATATAACAAATAATTATAATTATATATATTATATATTCAATGTTTCTATTGCCTGGCCCCATTTCCCTTATTCCATGGAATCTTAACTTTCATCTGCTACCAAAACTGTTCTTTCAATGTTCACAATAATTAAAATAATTACTTTCTCAATATCTTTTATTAATTAAATATAAAGCCTTGTTTTGTCCTGCATTCTTCTCCATTATCTCTTCTTTTAAAAAGTTATTGCAATTTCATTATCTTTTATATAACATGTTTGTTATAAAACATTAGAAAATTCAACTAAGCAGAAAAGATTAATTAAAGTCACCCATAATTTCACTACTTTGAGTTAAACAATATAAATATTTGGATGGCATTAGGAGAAATACCTAACGTTGATGATGGGGGAATGGATGCAGCAAACCACCAGGTATGTGTATGCCTATGCAACAAACCTGCACGTTTTGTACATGTACCCCAGAACTTAAAGTATAATAAAAAATATTTTACTATGACTAAATGTACATGTATTTATTAATAGTAATAAAAATCATATTATGCATTTGCTTTTTTATTTACTAATTTATCATGACCATCTTTCTATAAAAATATTTCTATAACCTTTCCTTTCTGAATCTCTATCCTTGTATCTAAATTCCCTGACTCACTTCCTACTTCACTAATTATCTCTCCTTTAGCTTTTCTGTCATGCCTCACTCCCAAAATCTGTCTTCTTTCAGGATCTGTTCTTAATTTTCTTCTCATCTCTGTATTCTCTTCTATAGCCACCTCGTTGCTTCAATTATCACCTTCATAGCGGCCAAATCAGTATCTCTACCTATAATTTGTATTACAAATTCTATTTTCAAATTTCTTCTATCTGTTGGTAGTTTTTCTCCAAATTCAATTGTCTAAAGCTGAACTCATTATCTGCTCATCATAATGAGTAGCTTCTGTGATTACCACCTCTGCTAGTGACACAGTCATCTAAATGCACATTTTTTTAATTTTTATTATACTTTAAGTTCTGGGGTACATGTGCAGAACATGCAGGTTTGTTACATAAGTATACATGTGCCATGGTGGCTTGCTGCATCCTTCCCCCATCATCTACATTAGGTATTTATCCTAATGTTATCTCTCTCTAATTTCCCATCCCATGTTATCCCACCCCTAACCCCCCACCCCACTCCCCAAAAGGTCCTGGTGTGTGACATTTCCCTCCCTGTGTCCCTGTGTTCTCACTGTTCAACACCCACTTATGTGTGAGAACATGTGGTGTTTGGTTTTCTGTTCCTGTGTCAGTCTGCTGAGAATGACGGTTTCTAGCTTCACCCATGTCCCGGCAAAGGACAAGAACTCATCCATTTTTATGGCTGCATAGTATTCCATGGTGTATATGTGCCACATTTTCTTTATCCATATATCATTGATGGGCATCTGGGTTGGTTCCAAGTCTGTGATATTGTAAACAGTGCCACAATAAATATACATGTGCATGTGTCTTTATAATAGAATGATTTATAATACTTTGGGTATATACCCAGTAATGGAATTGCTGGGACAAATTGGTATTTCTATTTCTAGATCCTTGAGGAATCATCACATTGTCTTCCACAATGGTTGAACTAATTTACACTACCACCAACAGTGTAAAAGCATTCCTATTTCTCCACATCCTCTCCAGCATCCCAAATTCACTTTTAAGTCATCCCTGCCTTTTCCTACTTGCTTGCCTATACACACACATATGCACACATGCATACTCAGTGTCAGCACTTAGTTGTGTATGTAACAAAATAATGGAATATTTCATGGTTCCATTTTAAAATAATCATGGGAAACTACAATTTAGCATTATACAAGCCAAAAAATTTGGAATTTAGAGAATGAAGAAGGGTCCATCCTCCTTCATCGGCTGAAAACTTAAATGAAAATGTTTTACACCTTAGGAACAAATAACTGCTATGATGATAAAGCACTAAGAAAATGCTACATATAATAAAAACCCCTATATTTCAACCAGTTCATTCAATTTAATTTCTTATTCTTTTTACTACTTATAATAAGGTAAAGAAATAAAAAGTGATTCTTTTTATTTCTCTAGTTTTAAGATACTGTGATAGAAAAAGTCATTGCACAAATCTTCAATTTTAAGCCAAGCATTTATTAGTTTAATATTATATAAAATATGCAAAACTAATACTACTTTCACATTTCTGCTTTAATTATAAATTCTCTATGATACTTAAAATTCTTATTTTATCACACTTGTTTTCACAGAGCTGATTTTCAAAAGAAAGAGTCACATTACATTTAATAACAGATGAACAAGCTCTGGGCAAACTCACATTTTTTAATTATTTATTTCAAAGCACATATGTAATTAGAGGTAAATTGGCCTTACATATAGTCAAATTTAAACTGTGTTTTAGATCTCACTAGAAGGAAACATACCAAGAAGCAATCAAATCTTCAGCTCTTTAGAACAGTCACATCTTTTTCAACCTACTCCCCTAACACCCCAAGATATCTAGCATTACTATTGTTAAAGAAAACTAAATATGGCCTGAGAAGGACTCTGTACTTCCATACCTGTGTCCTTGTGAATGAATTGCAACCTAATTTAATAGGTAAACAAGACTGAATACCTAACTTTGTAGTATGCACCTGTAACAATAGCTGAGTCTTGGCCAATTCCAGCAGCCATACTTCAACCACTCATACTTGGCTGAGTGTTCAAACTGTGCTCAAATAAGGCAAATGCCAAACTGTAACCAATCCAGCTGTTTCTGTACCTCACTTCGAATTTCTGTGTCATTTCCCTTTTTTGTCTATAAATTTATTCTGACCAAAAGGCATCCCTGGAGTCTCTCTGAATTTACTGTGATTTTATGGGCTGCCCAATCCGCAAATCATTCATTACTCAATTACACTCCTTTAAATTCAGCTAAAGTTTTTCTTTTAACAAAAGGTGTCAGAAGCGGGGTCCAAAGTGGACCTTTGAACAACCTCCAGGAGCACTGAGTCAACAGGCAAGGTACCTGCAAGGACTCACTTGTGTCCTTTTGTCCCTCAGCCAGAAATGGAACTGGGTCTAGGATGAGATTTGATCCTGTAATTAACAGGCTTGGTTTCACAGAGTTTAATCCAGTTAGAGGCCTCTTACATCCGACTGGGTCAGAAAAAAGCTGGTAGTAAATGGTAATATTGCAGGGGTTGTAAAATTTGGCTTTTGAAAATCCACAGGGATTTTTTAGTTCCACCCCTTTGTTTCATTTTCCTTGCATGCTTAGGTAGAAAAAAATTATTTTAAAAATCAACTTAAGAGTCATGAGTTCTTTGCAAGGAGGTTTTTAAGCAGAGAAAACAACCACTTGACAGAGAGAAGAAATACAGTCACTTCTACAATATTCATTGAATGACAATTAACTATCAGTTAGATCAAACAGCACAGTAACCTTGTGATAATAGGATTCAATGATCTTAAAATCAGGGAAAATAAATGCAACAGCCACTTTTCAACTTACCTTTTTTTTCGCCTGCAATACTATTATTTCATATAATCGTGGGATAAATGAGCAATGATTTTGTTGTTGATCTCTCTTTATGTTAACATTTTCATAATATGATGTCTTTTTCCTTTAGAAAATTCAAACAGAAATTAAGAGTTCTCAATTTTATATCTAAATATTTATGTAAGCAAAGAAATTCTTTCTACAGAAACATGTTCTGCTTTTAAAGCATGGGATAATAAGATCATCTAGGTGTATTAGACAAAGAAATTCAAAATTTTGTAAATGTATTTGTTTTGTTGGTTACTTATTCTTTTTTCCAATTCAGAGCATTATTATACACCTTTTTGAATAATTATTACAAAAAGAAAATAAGATCTGGTATTTACATCATGAATTGAATAAAAAGTTAACTCCAAAAAAAGTTTCCTTTCTGTTATACACAGCCAAAGGAATTAAAATCAATTTTTACAAGTTTCCTGTGTTTTCTTTGTACCATTAAATTCCAAATCCCTTGGTATTTCAACTATTACCAAAATAAGAGGAAAACAGCTCTGTGCTATCTATATCAAAAAACAATCAGAAAAGGGCATAAAGATCTTTGAAAACAAAAGGGAAACTTCTTTTCATTGAAATTCAGGAAACCTCAAGAAAGAATCAAAAACTAAATAAACAGTAAATAAGAGCCCAATCTTGGGAGTTAGCCCGATAAGATCCCAGCATTGCTGCCTACTGGTTATATAACCTTATGCAAATCACCTAACTTCTCTAAGCTTCAGATTCATCCCCTGATGAAACTGGTAATTGGAATCTGGTCATTGGAAATAGTGATAACCAATTCTCAAGGTTGCAACGATTAAAGTAGATAATATACATAAAATAAGGTGGTTAACGCCAACAGGGCTTATAATAAGCACGCAATAAATGATAGCTAGTATTATTACAAGAATAACATTTAAACTGGATATACAGACTACACTACTATTTTTTCTATTTCACAAAGAGAATTTCAAAAAAAAAAAACAAAATCTGCTACCCAACATTTCCAACAAACTATACAGAACATAGGCAGATTAAAAAATATATAACACACACACAGTCCATATCATACTGAATGGGCAAATCCTGGAAGCACTCCCTTTGAAATCTGGCAGTAGGCAAGGATGCTCTCTCACCACTCCTATTCAATATAGTATTGGAAGTTCTAGCCAGAGCAATCAGGCAAGAAAAAAGAAATAAAGAGTATTCAATTAGGAAAGGAGAATGATAAGGTCTTCTGAATATACAATCATGTCGTCTGCAAATAGAGAAAATTAAAATTGCCTCTATTTGCAGAAGACATGATTGTATATTTAGAAGACCCCATCATCTCAACCCAAAATCCCCTGAAACTGATAAGCCACTTCAGCAAAGTCTCAGGATACTAAATCAATGTGCAAAAATCACAAGTATTCCTATACACCAATAACAGACTTAAAGAGAGCCAAATCAAGAATGAACTACCATTCACAATTGCTACAAAGAAAATAAAATACCTAGGAATACAACTAACCTCTCAGGATGTAAAGGACCTCTTCAAGGAGAACTACAAAATAAGAGAGAACACAAACAGATGGAGAAACGTTCCATGCTCATGGTTAGGAAGAATCAATATCATGAAAATGACCATCCTGCCCAAAGTCATTTACAGATTCAATGCTATCCCCATCAAGTTACTAATGACCTTCCTCACAGAACTGTAAAAAAAACCTTAAACTTCATATGGAACCAAAAGAGAGCCCACATGGCCAAGTCAATTCTAAGTAAAAACAAGAAAGCTGAAGGCATCATGCTATCTGACTTCAAACTATACTACAAGGCTACAGTAATCAAAACAGCAAGGTACTGGAAACAAAACAGAGATATAGATCAATGGAACAGAACAGAGGCCTCGGAGGCAACACCATACATCTACAACCATCTGATCATTGACAAACCTCACAAAAACAAGCAATGGGGAAAGAATTTCCTGTTTAATAAATCATGTTGGAAAAACTGGCTAGCCATGTGTAGAAAGCAGAAACTGGACCACTTCCTGACACCTTACACTAAAATTAACTCCAGATGGATTAAAGACTTAAATATAAGATCTAATACCATAAAAACCCTAGAAGAAAATCTAGGCAAAACCATTCAGGACATAGGAGTAGGCAAGGACTTTATGACCTAAACACCAAAAGCATTGGCAACAAAAGCCAAAATAGACAAATGGAATCTAATTAAATTCCAGGGCTTCTGCAGAGCAAAAGAAACAGTCATTAGAGTGAATCAGCAACCAACAGAATGAGAAAAAAATTTTGCAATCTACTCATCTGACAAAGGGCTGATATCCAGAATTTACAAAGAAAAAAACAAGCCCATTCAAAAGTGGGTGAAGTATATGAAAAGACACTTTACAAAAGAAGACACACATGAGGCCAACAAACATGAAAAAATGCTCATCATTACTGGTCATCAGAGAAATGCAAATCAAAATTACATTGAGATACCATCTCATGTCAATTACAATGGCAATCATTAAAAAATCTGGAGACAACAGATGCTGGAGAGGATGTGGAGAAATAGGAACACTTTTACATTGCTGGTGGGAGTGTAAATTAGTTCAACCACTAATTTACTGTGTAATACAGTGTGGTGATTCCTCAAGGACCGAGAAATAGAAATTCCATTTGACCCAGCAATCCCATTACTGGGCATATATCCAAAGGACTATAAATCGTTCTACTATAAGGACACATGCACACGAATGTTCATTGCAGCACTGTTTACAATAGCAAAGACCTGGAACCAACCCAGATGCCCATGGATGATAGACTAAACAGGGAAAATGTGGCACATATACACCATCGAATACTTTGTAGCCATCAAAAACTATAAGTTCGTGTCCTCTGTAGGGACAGGGATGAACCTGGAAACCATCATTCTCAGCAAACTGACACAAGTACAGAAAATCAAACACCACATGTTCTCATTCATGGCACGTGTTGAACAATAAGAATACATGGACACAGGGAGGGAAGCATCACACACTGGGGTCTGTTGGAGGGGATCAAAGGGAGGGACAGTGGGTGGTGGGGAGTTGGGGAGGGATAATATAGGGAGAAATGCCAGATATAAGTGATAGGGAGGAAGGCAGCAAACCACACTGCCTTGTGTGTACCTATGCAACAATCTTACATATTCTTTACATGTACCCCAAAGCCTAAAATGCAATAAAATATATATTAAAAATTAAGATATATATACATATATAGTACACAAAGTTATGCAATTACTATTACTTTCTTTGTTCAGCAGTGCTGTGATTTAATGTGCACCTACCATCTCACTCACTCCTAAATGCTCACTTCCTTACTTATTATTATTTGCTAAAAACTCAACAAATAAAAAGGAAAAAAAAAGAGAAACCAATGCGAACGATCCAAGATGGCCGATCACTAACATCCCGGGATTGCAGCTCTCAGGGAAGGCGCGGAGAACTAGAGGACGCCACACTTTCAGACAAAGTCTGGTCGCTCACGGAGCAGAAGATCCCCCAGTGGTGGAAACACACGAGTCGCCAGAGCGACTCTCGTGGTCGGCGCAGTGGTTCCGCCAGCACCTCGACGCGGCAGCGCTTGGCGCAGAGTAAACCGGACCGGTTCCCCTTCTGACCGAGGTTTGGAGCCCCGGGAAGGCAGAGTCGCCTACTACGGAAACAAGAAGGAAGCCCGACAGGAGAATCCTGGGCAGAAAAGCACCAACAGTTTTAACGCCGCTGCTCTGGCCCTGGGAACTAACAACCTGAACGTCCACTCAAGAGACCTAATCTGAAAGTTGGTAATTTCAAAGACAAGAGGAGGATAAATTTACAATGACGGGAAGAAACCAGCGTAAAAAAGCTGAGAATACTCAAAGTCAGAACGCCTCTCCCTCTAAAGATGATCACAGTTCCACATCAACAATGGAACAAGGCTTGATGGAGAACGAGCGCCTCCTGATGACAGAATCACTCTTCAAGAAATGGATAATAACAAACTTCAATGAGTTAAAAGAACATGTTGCAGCCCAACGTAAAGAAACTAGGAACTTTGAAAAAAGGTTTGATGAAATCCTATTGAGAATAGACAACTTAGAGAGGAGTATGAGTGAATTAATGGAACTGAAGAATACAATACAGGAACTCCGAGAAGTATGCACAGGTTTAAACACTCGAATTGTTCAAGCAGAAGAAGGGATATCAGAGGTCAAAGTCCAACTTAATGAAATAAAACGTGAAGAAAAGATTAGAGAAAAAAAGGATAAAAAGGAATGAGCAAAGTCTCCAAGAAATGTGGGACTATGTGAAAAGACCAAATTTACGTTTGATAGGTGTACCTGAATGCGACGGAGAGAATGAATCCAAGCTGGAAAATACCCTTCAGGATATTATTCAGGAAAATTTTCCTAAACTAGCAAAGCAGGTCAACATTCAACCCCAGGTAATACAGAGAACACCACAAAGATATTCCTCAAGAAGAGCAACCCCAAGGCACATAATCATTAGATTCACCAGGGTTGAAACGAAGGAGAAGATACTAAGGGCAGCCAGAGAAAAAGGTCAGATTACCCACAAAGGCAAGCCTATCAGACTTACAGCAGATCTCTCGGCAGAAACTCTAAAGGCCAGAAGAGAGTGGGGGCCAATATTCAACATCCTCAAAGAACAGAACCTTCAGCCCAGAATTTCATATCCAGCCAAACTAAGCTTCACAACTGAAGGAAAAATAAAATCTTTTATGAACAAGCAAGAACTCAGAGATTTTATTACCACCAGGCCTGCTTTACAAGAGCTTCTGAAAGAAGCATTACACACAGAAAGAAACAACCAGTATTAGCCTTTCTAAAAATACACCAAAAAGTAAAGAGCACCAAAATAAAGAAGAATTTACACCAACGAATGGATAAAACAGCCAGTCAACATCAAATGGCAGTAACCCTAAATTTAATTGACTGAATTCCCAATCAAAAGACACAGCCAAAACCCAATGGCATGTTACATCCAGACCTGTTTCACATGCAAGGATACACAAAGACTCAAAACAAAGGGATGGAGAAAGATTTACCAACCAGATGGAGAGCAAAAATAAATAATAAATAAATAAAAAGCAGGAGTTGCAATTCTTGTATCGGATAAAATAGATTTTAAAGCAACAAAGATATAGTGGTAAAAGGATCAATGCAACAACAAGAGTTAACGATCCTAACACCCAGATAGGAGACTTAGATTCAATGAGACAGAAAATTAATAAGGATATCAAGGACTCGAACTCAGATCCAGAACAAGTAAACTTAATAAATATTTATAGAGCTCTCCACTTCAAATACACAAAATATACATTCTTGTCAATACCACATCACACCTACCCATTAGTTTAAATGAAACACTGATTGGCCATTATTAATACCCAATTTTTTTCAAAATAAAGCAATATTTCCATTTACTCTCCCTCTTTCTCTTCCTCTTTCTTTCTCTCCTTTACTTATTTTTTTTTTTCTTTCCTTTTCTCAAAAAAAAAGAAATCAACTTGTAAACCTCTAGATCCAGGTCGGCAATGTCTCTTTCATTGCTTGATTTCCTTTCTTCCCTTCCCTCCCTCCCCGCTTCCTCCCTTCCTTCCTTCCTTCATCCCTTCCTTCCTCCCTACCGTCCTTATTCCCTTCCTTCCTGCCTTCCTCCCACCCCCCAAAAAAAAAAAAAAAAAAGGAAAAAAAAAAAACCAAAACTCAACAAATAAACTTGCTTTCAATCCTCAAAAAGGTTTATGGATAAGAAATTTATATATGAAATATCAGAAATATCACATATCATTTAGGTCTGTATCTTTCCAAAAAGATCCATACACTTATTTTTCATTTAAAGTGAACAAATATCTCCACTTCTGTACTGAATCAAGACTCCCAGAATAATCCTGATTCACCAAATATAACAAAAAGTCCAAAAAAGAAAAAAACAAGCAGAAAATGTCAACTGCCAGAAGGAACTAAGACGACTCCATGTAAAAAATACACTGAAAGCAGTTAAATTTAAGAGCAAGCAAATTACTAAAATGGTGAAATAACTGAAGCAGTCAGGAATGCAATCTATATTAATACATTTCTTCAAAAAGTTAAAATACAAATGGAAGAAGGGGAAATACAGGAGAAATAACAAAGATCAAATAAAGCAACAGCACAATAAATGGGCTGAGAATGAGAGTGGGACAAGGTTGGGGGAAGTCAAACAGACTGGTAGGAAAAACCACCAACCAGAATCTGTCAACACTGCTTAGAGTCCTGACTATACCTGGGGTAGTCAGTCAGAAGTATAGTGAAATGGGCAGAAAACAATCACCACAGAATTATATACATTTTAAAAGATGAATTTTGACTTATATTACTTAAACCTCAGTAAAACTGAGAAGAGAGGAAGGAGAGAAGGTGACAGAGAGAGAGGGCCAGATTGACAGAGAGAGGAGGGGGAGAGAGAGAGAGAAAGAGAGAGAGAGAGAGACAGAAAGAAGGTGGGGAGAAAGAGAGAGAGAGAGCATACACACACACCAGCCAATCTGGCAGAAGAAGAGGATAGGATTAAAATATCGAAGAACAAAAGCATATGTAAAGAAGACTATGATATATGTTAGAGTATTCTACAGAACTTGTCTTGTTTTGAATAACAACAGTATTATTAAGCAAAGACTTAATTAAGCTAAATATGCATGTTAATGTTCTACCATAACTATTAAAAGAATAAAAATATCAAGGTATATATTCCATATTTAGAAGGTAAAAAATGAATGGGATAATGTATTAGAGTATAAATTCCCAAAAACAAGGGCCATGTTTTATTCTTGTTATTCTCAGTTATTAAGTTCAGAACTGGCACATAGCAAGAATTCAAACAATGTTTACTCAATGAATGAACAGTAGCAGGGGAGTCCAAGCAAGATCCTAAAATATATCCACTGCTAGTATACAGATATGTCTGATCTGTCTAGCAAATTAATTGAGTATGTAATCACTCTGTGGCTTCTTGGGAGAAAATTTATGCTATAAGAGAGAAAGAATCAGGCAGATAAGCTGGACTCTTAAAAATCTAATTATGAGGCCGGGTGCGGTGGCTCATGCCTGTAATCCCAGCACTTTGGGAGGCTGAGGTGGGTGGATCACGAGCTCAAGAGATCGAGACCATCCTGGTCAACATGGTGAAACCCCATCTCTACTAAAAATACAAAAAGTTAGCTGGGCATGGTGGCGCATGCCTGTAATCCCAGCTACTTAGGAGGCTGAGGCAGGAGAATTGCCTGAACCCAGGAGGTGGAGGTTGTGGTGAGCCAAGATCACGCCATTGCACTCCAGCCTGGATAACAAGAGCAAAACTCTGTCTCAAAAAAAAAAAAAATCTAATTATGAGAAAAGGTAGTAAATTCTGAGGACAACATGGTATTTTCTACTCAATTTTCCCTTTCATGAACTCATGTCTAAGACCTCACTATAGGAGTAGGAGAAAATAGAGTTATTTTGCCAGAAATGCATTTCTTCATAAATATATTCTGACTTACACTGACTGAGAATACCTTCTAAATCCATCATGTAGTCAGAGGATTGAAGATGAGAGCCAGAGATAAAATTTTGGGTCACCCTCTTTAACATTTTCTCTGATCATTTGTCTACTTTATAATTAAGGACAGTATATTTTGGTACATGGATACATGGGCTGTGTAATCAAACAGGCTTCAATTTAACTTTAGCTCTGCAATTTAATAGCTGCATGAACTGGAATATGTTATTTATCCCATTTAACCCTTGGATTTTTCACTAATAAAATAGATATAACAATCTTAACTATGCAAAGCTTGCTGTGAAAATTAAATGTGTTAATGCACATATAGTTGGTAGCACAAGATTTAGCTTATTTAAAAAAAAACCAATAACTTTCATATAGGTTACACCAAAATATAATACTTCTGGGAGTTTTTCATACTAATTTCTCTTTTCTTTATAGCATAACCTAGTCTGAATTATTGGAATACTTTTCTAGTCAAGAGTTATATTAAAGGTATGCTATATTTTTTCACTTACTGGACTATATCATACTGCCCAGGACCAGGACTTGACTTTTTAGGTAACTCTTGTCTTCCTGATGAGTTGCCAAAATGTATGCCTTTGTATTTCAAAGTTGCATTGGAAACACCCTAAAAAATAAAAAGGTATCAAAAGTGAGAATGAAACATAGTTTAAATAAGTCATAAAACGATGTTTGGTGTTACCTAAGTCTAAATCTAAAGAAAGGATAGCCTCATTAAGGGGGTTCCACTGGTCAATGCTAGAGTGCTCCTTGAAACATCCCCAGGCTAAGTTGTCATTGTTGGATCCCATCCCACTCCTGAGTCAGCTAGTTTTCCTGGAGAAGTACCTCTAACATTAGCATATTCTCAACTAACATGAACAGCTTTGCTCTTGACAGTACACCTAGTAATCTGAAACCTTAAGAAAAATTAAAATTAGCTCCTCATGATTTAGAAGAGAGAGGGGATAACATTACTTGGGAAACAGAAATACCTATTAAAAATTACCTTAAATAAATAGATTGAAAAAATGCAAACAGCACCAACAGTTGTTAGATAACTTCACATTAATGTAACCTTTACATGTACTTAGAAATACTTACAATAAATTAAACACTAGCCTAAGTTCATTTTATTGTTAAGGCTTAAAGACAGAATCAGGAAAAATATTGCAAAGATGGCTGAATAGGAACAGCTGCAGAGTGCTCACTGCATTTCCAAACAAGTTTTCACTGCCCACAGATGAGGAGATTCCAGGGCCAAAAGCACCATGAGTGTTCAGCATGACTAGTGCCATGGGTTGGCAAACAGAAACTCACACAAATCTGGGCAGCTGTTTCAACTGGTACCTGGAATGCCTGAAAGACAGAGCCACCCATTCAACTGAAAGGGAGGGGGCTGAGTCAGGAAGCCAGGTATCTGGCTCAGCAGGTACCACCTCCACAAAACAAGCAATCTGAAATGCTCTGGATAGAGAGTTCCACAGCAAGTGCAGCTCGACCCAGGACAATCCACCTCAGTGCAGGGAAGGGCATCTGCTGCTACCATGGCAGTCTGCCAATACCAAAACAGTTCGCACAGAAGCTGGACAGAGCCTGCGGCAGCTCAGCAACACCTCTGCTGGCAGACTGTGACTAGACTACTCCATGCAGGACAAGGCATCTCTCAAAAAAGGCAGCAGCACATCAGGAACTTATAAATAAAGTCAACTTTCCCAGGTCACAACACCTAGGAAAAAAGGTGGATATGAGTTCCCCTATAGCAGACTTAAAGGTACCTGCCAAGCAGATCTGCATGGAACAATGAAGCTCCCAGCACAGCACTTGAATTCCTGGAAGGGACAGACTGTCTCCTCAAGTAGCTCACCAAACCCCATATACCCAAAGAGACACCTCATAAAGGACAGCTCCGGCCAACATCTGTTGGGTACCCTTCTGGAACAAGCAACAGAAGAAGAAACCAGCAGCAACCCTTACTATTCTGCAGCCCCCATGGGTGATCCCCAGGCAATCGGGTCTGGAGTGGACCTCCTGCAGTCCTGCAGCAGAGAAGCCTGTTAGAAGAAAAATTAAGAAACAGAAAGAAAGAGCTTCAACATCAACAAAAAGGATGTCCACTCAGAGACCCCATCCAAAAGTAACCAACTACAAAGATCACGGGTAGATAAAGCCACTAACATGAGGAAAAGCCAGCACAAAAAGGATGAAAACACCAAAAACCAGAATGCCTCTCCTCCTCCAAGGAATCACAAAATTTCTCACCAGCAAGAGATCAAAGATCAATGGAGAATGAATCTGATGCACTGACAGAGGCTTCAGAAGGTGAGTAATAACAAACTTCTCAGAGCTCAAAGAACATGTGCTAACCCAATGCAAAGAAACTAAGACCCTAGAAAAAGGTTAGTTGAGATGCTAACTAGAATAAACAGCTTAGAGAAGAATATAAACAACTTGATGAAGCTGAAAAACACAACATGAGAACTTCACGAAGTATATACAAGTTTCAAAAGCCGAACTGACCAAGCAAAAGAAAGGATATCAGACACTGAAGATCAACTCAATGAAATAAAATGAGAAGGCAAGAATAGAGAAAAAAGAGTGAAAAGAAATTAACAAATCCTCCAAGAAATATAAGATTATCTGAAAAGACCTGATCTACATTTGATAGGTGTACCTGAATGTGACAGAGAGAGTGAATCCAAGCTGGAAAACACTCTTCAGGATATTATCCAGGAGAACTCCCCAACCAAGCACGGCAGGCCACCACACACGTCCCAGAAACACAGAGAACACCGCAAAGATATTCCTCAAGAAGAGCAACCCCAAGGCACATAATTGTCAGATTCACCAAGGTTGAAATGAAGGAGAAAATGCTATGGGCAGCCAGAGAGAAAGGTTGGGTTACCCATAAAGGGAAGTCTATCAGACTCACAGTGGATCTCTCCACAGAAACCCTACAAGCCAGAAGAGAGTGAGTGTCAATATTCAACATCCTTAACAAAAAGAACTTTAAACCTAGAATTTCATATCCAGCCAAACTAAGCTTCATAAGTGAAGGAGAAATAAAATCCTTTACAGACAAGCAATTGCTGAGAGATTTTGTCACCACCAGGCCTGCCTTACAAGAACTCCTGAGAGAAGCACTGAACAAGGAAAGGAACAACCACTAACAGCCAGTCCAAAAATGTACCAAATGGTAAAGACCATTGGCATAATGAAGAAAATGTGTCAACTAATGGATAAAACATCCAGCTAGTATCAAAATGGCAGTTTCAAATTCACACATAACAATATTAACCTTAATCATAAATGGGCTAAATGCCCCAATCAAAAGACAAAAACTAGCAAATTGGATAAAAAGTCAAGAACCATGGGTGTGCTGTATTCAGTAAACCATCTCATGTGCAAGGACACACATAGGCTCAAAATAAAGGGATGGAGGAAGATTTATCAAGCAAATGGGAAGCAAAAAAACACGAGTTACAATCCTAGTCGCTGATCAAATGGACTTTAAAACAACAAAGATCAAGAGACAAAGAAGGGCATTACACAATGGTAAAATGATCAATGCATCAAGAAGAGCTAGTGATCGTAAATATATATGCACCCAAATAGGAGCACCCAGGTACATAAAGCAAGTTCTTAATGACCTACAAAAAGACTTAGACTCCCACACAATAATAGCGAGATACCTTAACACTCCACTGTCAACATCAGACAGATCAACAAGGCAGAAAATTAACAAAGATATCCAGGACTTGAACTCAGAACTGGACCAAGCAGACCTAATAGACATCTACAAAAATCTCTACCCCAAATCCACAGAATACACATTCTTCTCAGCGTTGCATTGCACCTACTCTAAAACTGATCATATAATTGGAAGTAAATAATTCCTCAGCAAATGCAAAAGAACAGAAATCATAATGAACAGTCTCTCAGACCACAAGACAGTAAATTAGAACTCAGAATTAAGAAACTAACTCAGAAACGCACAACTTCATGGAAACTGAACAACCTGCTCCTGAATATTGACTGGATAAACAATGAAATGAAGGCAGAAATAAAGATGTTCTTTGAAATCAATGATAATGAAGACACGATGTACCAGAATCTCTGGGACACATTTAGAGTATTATCTAGAGGGAAATTTATAGCAATAAATGCCCACCAGAGAAGAGATGAAAGATCTAAAATTGACAACCTACTGTCAAAATTAAAAGAGCTAGAGAAACTAGATCAAAAAAACCTCCAAAGCTAGCAGAGGACACGAAATAACTAAGATCAGAGCAGAAATGAAGGATATAGAGACACAAAAAAAAAACCTTCAAAAAGATCAATAAATCCAGGAGCTAGTTTTTTGAAAAGATCAACAAAATAGACAGACCACTGGCCAGACTGATAAAAAAGAAAAGAGAGAACAACCAAATAGATGCAATAAAAAAACAAAAAAGGGGATACCACCACCAATTCCACAGAAATACAAACTACCATCAGAGATGACTACAAACAACTCTATGCACATAAACCAGTAAACTTGGAAGAAACGGATAAATTCCTGGACACTTGTACCCTCCCAGGCCTAAACCAAGAAGAAGTTGAAACTTTGAAAAGACCAATAACTAGGGCTGAACTGAGGCAGCAATTAATAGCCTAGCAACCAAAAAAAGCCCAGGTCCAGATGGGTTCATGGCTGAATTCTACCAGATGTACAAAGAGGAGCTGTTACTCTGAAACTATTCCAAACAATCCAAAAAGAGGGAATCCTTCCAAAATCATTTTATGAGACCAACATCATCCTGATACCAAAACCCAGCAGAGACTCAACAAAAAAAGAAAACTTCAGGCCAATATCCATGATGAACATCAATGTAAAAATTCTCAATAAAATACTGGCAAACAGATTGCAATAGCAAATCAAAAAGCTTCAAGTAGGCTTGCATCCCAGGGATGCAAGACTGGTTCAACATACGCAAGTCTATGAATGTAATCTACCACATAAACAGAACCAAAGACAATAACCAACTGATTATCTCAAGAGATGCAGAGAAGTCCTTCGACAAAATTCAACAGTCCTTTATGCTAAAAACTCTCAGTAAACCAGGTATCGAAGGAACATATCTCAAACCAATAAAAGCTACTTACAACAAGCCTACAGCCAATATCATACTGAATGGGCAAAAACTGGAAGCATTCCCTTTGAAATCGGGCACTAGACAAGGACGCCCTCTCTGACCACTCCTATTCAATATAGTATTGGAAGTTCTAGCCAGAGCAATTAGGCAAGAAAAAATAAATGAAGAGTATTCAATTAGGAAAGGAGGAAGTCAAACTGTCTCTATTTGCAGATGACATGATTGTGTATTTAGAAGACCCTATCAACTCAGCCTAAAATCTCCTTAAACTGATAAGCAACTTGAGCAAAGTCTCAGGATACTAAATCAATGTGCAGAAATAACAAGCATTTCTTTACATCAATAACAGACTAACAGAGAGCCAAATCATGAGTAAACTCCCATTTACAATTGCTACAAAGAGAACAAAATACCTAGGAATACAAGTAACCTCTTAGGATGTAAAGTACCTCTTCAAGGAGAACTACAAACCACTGCTCAACAAAATTAGAGA